CTCCTGGACAGATTCAGTGCCCGGCCACGGGCACTGACCGGCGGGGAGGGCGCTAGTCCAACCTCGCTGGCTCTGCCCCGGGTGGCACCGCCTCCGTGGGGCTCGTCACACACAGGGGATGGTGACAGAGGAACCAGACCTGAAGCTGGTGTGCCGAAGCCCAACTCGTCCTGCTGCTGGCCACAGGCTGAGGCTTTCTGCACTCCCCAGAGATGACAGTGACCCCACCCGCGTCCCAGGGCAGTGTGAGGCTCACCACTAGCAGTGGTCAGGAGGTAGCTGAGCCCCGGTCCCCAGTCACATCCAAGGTACGGGACCCTGCAGGGCATGTCCCCGCCTGGCTGAGCCCCCTCCCTGGTCCCTGAGTTATTCCCCACTTCCCATGCCGTGGCCTGGGCCCCTCCCCTCCAGCTCGGAGTTCCTCCCCGCACCGTGTCCACCCCCGCTCCGGCCCCGGCCCATCTCTGCGTTAACCCTCTCCAGGCCCTGCGGCACGCACGTTCAGTCCTGGAAGATCGCTGAAAGGAAAAAGGGCTCTTAATCCAGAAGAGAAGGGATCTGCCGCATCACACTGAACACAGAAGAAAACACCGAAGTGACACTTTTGTGGATAAAGAGAGTTGGGCTCTTCCTGCAGGTCAGTGAGCAACTGCTCGTCCACCTGCTGGGGCGCCCGAGGCACATGGCTCAACACAAAGGAAAGCGGCGTCTTCCCAACTGAGACGGACCCCAGCCAGTACCCATGGGTCTGAGACTCCAAAGGAAGCTGCGGGCAGTGTAAGTCTGAGGGTGCAATGGGGGAGACACACACACACACGTGAACATACATGCAGACAGACACACACATGCACATACACGCAGACACACACATACAGCTACACACAGACACACGCGAGTAGCAGGGAGGGGATGACAGCAGTGTCCTCCTCCTAGCCCGGACCCCGGCCCTGGATGGCCCTCACGTTCGCCCATCTGAGAGTCCACGGCCAGCGTGGAGCGGGCCCGGAAGGGCGAGCGCCCCAGGCTCCGCTGGGGTCTGTGCATCAGGGGACAAGGCTCCACATGCTCCAAGCGGAGAAGCTGCAACGGACAGAAGCAGAGCTGGCGGACTTTCTGAAAAGGGGCGAGGTGCCTGTTGGGAGGTGGGGGGACGCTGGACTGAGGACACCCCTCAGCAGTCAGCCTCCAGTGAGCAGGCCAGAGAACCTCAGTGCAGCTCCCTCTCCGCAGCGCCCCGCCGGGCTGTCCCGAGATCCCTCCTGATTCCACAGTCCCCACCGGGCTTCACCCGTAACCCTGTGCTGGACGCTCACCGGCTCTCCCCACCACACTCTGTGCAGGACCCACCGCTGCCTGTTAACCCAGAAGCTCCCAAAGGATGCCCAAGGGACGGCCTCCAGTACAGGCCACAGGCTTCCCCGGCATCAAGGGGAGAACAGTAAAGATTTACTTCTCCCTCCAGCAGCCTTGCTGCAAAGGCAACAGCCTCCTTTCATCCCGAGAAGCTTTGCCACAAACTGCATAGGAGGCCCCATCACCCAGCAGACGCCGACCTGTAGGGAAGCCTCAGAACCGCCCCAGGCAGCATGCCAGCCCACCGGACTCATGCTTTCTCACCCTGAGCTCCAGCTGAGGGGCTTTCTTCCAAGGCACGCGGTAGGGCTCCCGAGAAGAGAAGCACTTCGCCCAGCTGCCCTCACCCTGGCCCCCAAGGCACCCCGGGCTGGAGAGCTCTGGGCTTAGCAGCCCCACAGCCCCCCCCCGCCGGGCCTCTTCCTCTGAAGCCGAGATACGCTGCAGCCCTGCAGCCGCCTCCGCCGCCCCGGCCCACGGCGCCCCGAGCGCGGCCAGCGGGGCATCTGCTCCACCGTCGCATCTGCTCCACCGTCACTCGGCCTGCATTGGGTCCACGTCACGAGCCCCGCAGACCAGGAAGACAAGAGGCAGCCCTGGTTCACACCGCAACCCGGTACAAGCGCTTAGAAGCTTTTCTGGCTAAAACCCCACCGAGTGGTCCTCAGTGTTTCTTACCCCAGCACGACTGCTCCTGCGACCTAGTTAAGAAGATGCGGAGAATGGATATTGCGTTTCTCACTTACAATGGCTGCTTGGACGCTTTCAAGACTTACTAATCCAGCCTTTCACCACGATGTTCTGCAACAGCCCAACTTTACTCGGTAACTTTGTCAGAGACCCAACAGGAAGGAGGCCTGTTTGAGGATGGATGGTGAAAAGTCGAGTCCTCTGGGTGCAGCGAGCTGAGGGTTGGGAGTAGGGCGCTGCTGCCAGGCTTGGCCAGGCCGCACTACCGGAAGGCTGGAGAGCAGGTGCTGGCGAATGAGGGCAGAGCCCCAGGCAGGAGAGGTGGCCCAGTCAGGGTGCAGGGGGTCAACCAGCCACAGGGGCCCATGAAGGCCACGGTCAGGGCTACCCCTGCGAACCTCACAGTTAGTCTGCAGAGCCTGCTGGCTCCACCGCTGGTGGGGGTTATAGAAAGTAGCTTGGGAACCATCAAAATACTGTAATGCCCGCTTTGGAGCTAACATCTGACTGTTGAGGAATTTTGTCACTATGAGATGATCTGTTCTTTAAGGCTGACCAGGTGAGTCCTAACGCCTGGGGCTCAGAGCAACGGGGGAAGCCGGGCAAAGTGTTTTTCTACAAAGGAAGCCACAGATTGGGAACACTATTTACTCTTCTCTGTATTCTGCCTTACTGAGAAATTCATTTCTTCTTCCTATTTTAAGCAAATGCTTATTAACCAGAGTTGCCACTGGGCTTTTCCTTTCAAAGGGCAAAAACACAACCATCTGTTTTAAACACAGAGGAGGAAAAAAATAACCATGGCCCGAACTAATCCAAATAAAAAGAGAAACATATCTAAAACCTTCAAAACCATAAAACTCCTAGAAGAAAACAGGGGAAAAGCTCCTTGACAACATGGGTCTCAGCAATGATTTTTTTGGATTTGACACCAAAAGCAAAGACAACAACAGCAAAAACAAACAAAAGAAACTAAAAAGCTTCTACAAAGCAAATGAAACTGTCAACAAAATGAAAAGGCAACCTACTGAAGGGGAAGGAATATTTGTACGCTGTATATCTGGTAAGGGGCTGACACCTGAAATACAGCAAGAACCCATACAATTCAACAGCCAAAACCCCAAACAATCTGAATAAAACATGGGCAGAGGAGCTGAGCAGACGTTTGTCCAAAGAAGACATACAGGTGGCCAACAGCTATACAAAAAGACGCTCAAGATCACTAACCATCAGGGAATCGCAAATCAAAACACAGTGAGACATCACCTCACACCTGTCAGAATGGCCATCATCAAAAAGACAAGAAATAGCAAGTGTTGGTGAGGATATGGAGAAAAGGGAACTCTTTTTTTTTTTTTGCAGTACGCGGGCCTCTCACTGCTGTGGTCTCTCCCGCTGCGGAGCACAGGCTCCGGACGCGCAGGCTCAGCGGCCATGGCTCACAGGCCCAGCTGCTCCACAGCATGTGGGATCTTCCCTGACCGGGGCACGAACCCGTGTCCCCTGCATCGGCAGGCGGACTCTCAACCACTGCGCCACCAGGGAAGCCCAGAGAAAAGGGAACTCTTATGCACTGTTGGTGGGATGTAAATTGGTGCAGCCACTATGGAAAACAGTATGAAGTTTCCTCAAAAAATTAAAAACAGAACTACCGTACAATCCAGCAATTCCACTTCTGAGTATTTATCCAAAGAGAAGAAAAACACTAACTCAAAAAGATACATGCACCCCAATGTTCACTGCAGCATTATTCACAATAGCCAAGACAAGGAAACAACCCAAGTGTCCACTGATGGATGGATGAATAAAGCACATGCGAATACTACTCAGCCAAAAAGAAGGAAATGTTTTCATTTCCAATAACATGGATGATCTTGAGGGCTTTATGCTAAGTGAAATAAGTCAAAGACAGACAAATACGGTAAGATCTCACTTATTTGTGGAATCTAAAAAAAAAACAATCGAAAAAAGGAGCTCACAGATACAGAGAACAGACTGATGGTTGCCAGAGGTGATTGGGGGATGGGAGAAATGGGTAAAGATGGTCAAAAGGTACAGACTTCCAGTTATAAGATAAGTAAGTCTTGGGATGTAGTTGTACAGCATGGTGACTGTAGTTAACACTGCTGTATGGAGAATTTCAAAGTTGCTGCGAGAGACGGTAGGTCCTAAAAGTTCTCATCACAAGGAAAAGAAATTGTGTAACTATATGAGGTAATGGATGTTAACTTATTGGCTGGTGGTTTTGCAGTACATAGCCCATCAAGTCACTGCGCTGTATACACACCTTAAACCCCCACAGTGCTATATATCAATCATATCTGAATAAAACTGGGAAAAATAGAATCTTCCCTTTTTTCATTTTAATATTAATGATTATAGGGTAATGAGAAGTTTGCTGGGCTTTCCATAAGGTGTCTGGAGTTCCCTGTATCTCTGACATTCATTCTAAGGCATGTGCCAAGTTAACCAATTAAATGTATCCATCCTGCCTTTGGTGTTGGCTAAAAATACTACCATAGCTTAATAACACTAGTTACGTGCCCAGAAACTCAGAATCCCTGCAAGTAAATGGTTTGAGAGTCAGAATCTGGGCTTTGGGAGGAGCCCCTTACAATCCCGGGTCCTCACAGTCCCCGTCCTCGCAGCCCCGGGTCCTCACAGTCGCCGTCCTCACAGCCCCGGGTCCTCAAAATCCCCGTCCTCGCGACCCCGGGTCCTCACAATCCCCGTCCTCGCGGCCCCGGGTCCTCACAGTCGCCGTCCTCACAGCCCTGGGTCCTCAAAATCCCCGTCCTCGCGGCCCCGGGTCCTCACAGTCCCCGTCCTCACAGCCTCCGTCCCCACAGCCCCAGGTTCCCACAGTCCTCACAGTCCCGGGTCCCCACAGTCCCGATGGCCTAGAGTCTCCGTCCCCCAAAGCTCCCGGTCCCCACAGACCCCTAATCCCCGCCTACCGTGCCTCCGCAGCGCCGCCATGCCGGCCTCGCCGCCCCGGCGACCCCTGCGACCCCAGCCCAGGCCCGAGTAGCGCGACTGCACTTCCGGACTCCGTCCTTGTAGGCCCGTCCACAACAGCAGGCCTGCCCAATCAGGATCCGCGGTCTCTGCCGCTGAACGCCAATCAGCCCCACACCGGCTGCAGATTGGCTCTAACGCGCGCTGTGGGCATGGCCCGTGGGCGTTAGTACTCCGAGCATGCTCAGAGGAAAGGGTGTGACCCGGGTGAGCCGACCTGGGCTGCGGAGGGGTCATGGGGCGGGGTCAGCGGGAGGGGTCAGGGGTTAGGGGGTCATCACAAGACCGTCACTGGAAGCGGGTGGGTGGGTCAGCGAGAGGTGGTTAGTGGGTCAGCAGGAGGGGAGTCAGGGGTTAGGCGGTCGCTGGGAGGAGGTCAGCGCGGGGCGGGATTGTGTTCCTGGGTGACCGCCCACAGTGTCACCCTGGGTCCCAGCGCTGCACAGGGATGCGAGCAGTGGGAGGGGTCTGCTGAGCGCCCATCGGGCCAGGGTCCTGTCGTACCGCAGAAGCTGGGACTCAGAGCAGAGAGGAAACTGGGAAGAGGGGAGCCCGGGGACTGACCAGGAAGACCGCCGCCCCCTGACCCCTGACCCCTGTGGCACTGACCCCTTCTGCCCGCTGTTGCGACTGCGGCAGGTGGATTTCTTCCCTATGCTCCCCTCCAACCATTTCACCTTCCCTGGGACCTTGGTTTATTGTTTACCCTTCTTCCTGGAATCCGTTTCTCGGAGAACTTATTTCCTGAGAGCCTGTCTGTGCCGGGCCCTGCTATGGAAGCCGGGGTACCTCCTGACGGGCTGACAAACAGACAAGTCCTCGTGAGACAGAGAGCACGTCACTGTCCTCCCGCCGGGAAGGGGTTTCAGAGTGGGGAGGTGGGGGGTCAGGAAGGCCTCCTGGAAGGTAATTGAACCAGGCTTGAGGCAGAGGGAGCAAGGCTTGGTGATGTCCAGGCAAAGAGCACTCAAAGCAGAAGGGACCGTCCAGGCCTGGAGCAGCACAGGGCCCGTGCGACAGGAGCACAGCGAGCAGGGACAGTGACAGCCACCGACAGACAGGAAAGCAGGTGGTGCTGGGCAAGTTTGCGAAGACGCGAGGATCAGCCTTACGTTTCCCAGGCAGTCAGGTGGAGGATACGGCTGGTTTTGAGCAGAGGAGTGAAATTATCTGAAGCCCATCTTGAAGGAGTGGCTTGAGCCGCTGAGCTGAGATCAGATTTGGTGGGGGAAGCAGGAGGCCAGCTCGAGTCCATCCCTGTGAGAAGGACCCTGGTGGCTAACACCAGGGTAGTGGTGGATGAGGCTGTGGGAAGAGGTGGTTGGATTTGGATATATGTGAAGACAGAGCAAAAGAGGTTTTCTGATTGACCAAGAGTGGCTTTGGCAGGAGAGAAGTGTGGCACAGCTCCAGGTTTTGGTTTGGAAACTGGGAGGCTGGAGTGGTCCCAAGGAGATGAGAAAACTCCCTGGGGGGTGGAGAGGGGGCGGTCATTGTTGGGTGGTGTGCAGTGCCAGGCATGTTAGGTTTGAGGTGCTCCTTAGACGTGTAAATGTGGGCATCAATTAGGCAGCTGAATAGGATTTTAGGATTCAGGAGAAAGGATGAGGATGGAGATATACAGCTGGGTTTGTCTGCATGTAGGTGCATTTAAAGCTCTAAGAGGGAGTGTAGATAGAGAAGTGGTCCAAGGACAGCTCTGAGGGGCTCTAACTTCTAGAAGGTGGGGAGATGAGGAGGGAAAGGGCAGGGGGGCCGGGAGGACAGTGAGCTGTCCTGAAGCCAAGTCATGTCATCGCTGGTCTGAAATGATGTTGAGGACCCATCACAGACAATTGTATTCATCAAGCACAGGTTCTCACTGACCTTGATTACAGTAATTTCGTTGAAGTGGTAGAGGCAAAAGCTTGATGGGAATTCGGTAGAGAGAATTGCAGGAGAGAAATGGAAGATATTGAGTTCAGATCTCTCTCTACTGGACCCAAGATGGGGTAGCAGCTGTAGGGTCCCTAAAGACAGAACACACACACACACCACACATACACACATATAATCAAAAGAGGGTTGTTTAGAAAATACACATGCCACACACACGAAATTTATGTGCTGAAGGATCTGATCAAGTTGAGACTGAAAATGAGTAATGGAACACAAATGGCACAATTAAAAAATGGGTCAAAGACCTTAACAGACACCTCACCAAAGATAGACAGATGGAAAATAAGCATATGACAACATAAAGTGCTGACAAGGATGTGGAGCAACAAGAACTCTCATCATTGCTGGTGGGCACAGCCACTGTGGAAGACAGTTTGGTGGTGCCTTACCCTATGATCCATCCATCTCATTCCCCGGTATTTGCCCAAATGAGATGGAAACTTACGTGCACACAATATCCTGCACACAGATATTTATAGCAGCTTTATAGTTGCCAAAACCTGGAAGCACCCAAGATGTCCTTCAGCAGGTGAATGGATAAGAAAACTGTGGTGCCTTCAGACAATGGGCTATTATAAAGCTAGAAAGAAATGAGCTACCAAAAGCCATGAAAAGACATGGAGAAAACTTAAATGCATATCACTAAGCAAAAGAAGCCAATCTGAAAAGTCTACATACTGTATATAATTCCAACTCTATGACATTCTGGGAAAGGCAAAACTATGGAGACAGTAAAAAGATCAGTGGTTGCCAGGGGTTGGGATGGGAGGGATGAAGCATTTTAGGGCAGTGAAACTACTCTGTATGATGTTATAATGGTGGAAACATGTCATTATTCATTTATCCTAACCCATAGAATATACAACCCCAAGAATGAACCCAATGTAAACTATGGACTCTGGGTGATAGTGACACGTCAACATAGGTTCATTAGTTGTAATACACGGACCATCTAGTTTGGATGTTGATAATGGGGCGGGTGGGGGCTGTGCATGGGTAGGGGCAGAGGGCATATAGGAAATCTCTGCACCTTCTCCTCAATCTTCCTGTGAACCGCTCTAAATCTCCTCAATTTTCCTAAAACCGCTCTAAAAAATCAAGTCTATTTAACAATAGATGGTGCAGGAGAGAGGGAGTGCACACGGAATGGTATCCTTGACTAGTTCACACTTGACCTCGTTCTCTACTTCAGCTTCCCAGCAGTGTTCGAGCAGCTCTGGACTTTCTAACCTTACAACGAGATCTTCCCAGAAACCATCTCTTTCCCTCCAGCCCTGTTCCTTTCATCTCTTTTACACTCAAACTTCTTGAAAGAGTTGACGACAAAGTCAGTCTCCACTTTGTCATCTTCGGTTGACTCTGTTGCCCATATGTGTCTCCATCCTTCTCTGCTGTAACTGCTCCTGCTTAAGTCACAGGACCTCATGTCACAGGATCCAGTGCACACTTGTCGGTATCCACTCAGTGGTCTCCCAGAAGCACCATCTACCCAGCTGCAGAGACCTGGGATTCATTGGCATCCTCTCCTCCCTCTCTTCCCCCATGACCCATCGAAGAAATCACAGCAAGTATATTCTACCTGCATCATTTCTTACTTCCACTGTCTCGTTCATGTCTTCATCATCTCTCACTACAGTTTATCCATGCATTTCTAAGTTGATCTCCCCAATTCCGTTCTTGTTTCCTCACTCCCATTCCCAACTCTATCTCTTCTCCTCAGAGCAGCCAAAATGACCTTTAAAAAATCTCGTTGCCATTGAAAAATCAATGACTGTAATCCACCATATTGACAAGCTAAAGAAGAAAAATCACATGATCATATCAATAGATGCAGAAAAAACATTTGACAAAATCCAATAAAATCCAAAATTCATGATAAAACTCTCATCAAACTAGGAAGAGAAGGGAACTTCTTCAACGTGATAAAGAACATCTGCAGGAAACCTATAGCTAACATCACACTTAATGGTGAGAAACTAGATGCCACCCCGCCACCGTCAGGGACAAGGCAAGGATGCCCCTCTCACCACTTTTCAACATTGTACTGGAAGTCCCAGCTAATGCAGTAAGACATGAAAAGGAAATAAAAGGTATATAAATTGGGAAGGGAGAAATACAATTGTCTTTGTCCACAAATGACATGATTGTCTATGCAGAACATCTTATTTCCTTGCTAAAAATCCTATGTCAAATTTCACTGTATAGGGCTTCCCTGGTGGTGCAGTGGTTGAGAGTCCGCCTGCCGATGCAGGGGACACGGGTTCGCGCCCTGGCCCGGGAAGATCCCACATGCCGCGGAGCGGCTGTGCCCGTGAGCCATGGCCGCTGAGCCTGCGCGTCCGGAGCCTGTGCTCCGCAACGGGAGAGGCCACAACAGTGAAAGGCCCGCGTACCGCAAAAAAAAAAAAAAAAAAAAAAAAAATTTCACTGTATATACGATTCAACTCAGAGTCCTTAAAACGTCCTTTGAACACCCCTCACGTGCTCTCCGGATGCATTCATGCTATTCTCTCTCGCGCTCACTGTGTTCCGGTTCTCTGACTGTTTATTCCCCTGGGTCTTCAGGCCTGCTCTTCCTTCTACCTGAAATCCTTTCCCTGCCCCACTCTCTTCTTGCCTGAATCCCATTCCTTCTCCAGGGCTCTGGTAGAAGTGGCCTTCTGATTTCATGCTGGTTCTGCTGTAGAGACCCTTGCACTCACCTGCGGGCACCTTAAGCCCTTCAGTTCAGCCTCACGGCTTTCTCTGAAGCTGTGGGACTTACTCAGCCAGAGGAACCTGGGGTGGGGGGAGCAACAGGCAGTCATTGGCAGATGGAGATCAGATGGAAAAATGTCCAGCCTTTCTACTGAAGGCAGGCAATTCTGAGGTGCACTCCACACGGTGCCCTTGGGGATCCCCAGCCAGATTGAGATCCCACTCTCCACAGGGGTGGCCAGCTTGATAATGCATCAATGTTAATAACATTCCCTCCCTCTTTGTCTCACTCTTCCTGCTTCCTTTCTCATTTCCTGCCTCACCCTCCCAAATAAACTACCTGCACCCAAATTCATGTCTCAGGACCTGCTTGTGGGAGAAGCAGAGGAAGACAAAGACTTAATGAAGATTCCCAAAAAGGGTTCTTCTCTCATCTCAGAGCTGTGTGGTTGCCCTTCTACCATTCAATAACACCCTCTACTTTCCTTTAGAAAAGTAATTATAATTTGTAATTATATGTTACTGTGCTATTTTAAAAAACTGATTCTCTTTCTAGACTGGAAGCTCCAGGGGCCAGAGACGGCTTATCTGTTTTGCTCACATTTTGACAGACCTGATGGGCACTCAGTACATTTTTCTTATTTTTGTTGTTGCTCTTGCGTGAATGAATAAATAAATGAATTTTTATAGGATGAAATCAACAAGGACCTACTGTATAGACAGGGAACTCTACTCAATACTCTGTAATAACCTATATGAAAAAGAATAGATATATGTATATGTGTAACTAAATCACTTTGCTGTACACCTGAAACTAACACAACATTGTAAATCAACTATACTCCAATATAAAATAAAAATTAAATAATTAATTTAAGAAAGATGGAAGGATGAGGACAAATATGGAGAGGAGGGAAGTAAAGGGAAAGTACATTTTAAAATTGAAAAATTGATCTAGAACTTAGATTTGTGGTTGAGGTTTGGAACACACAATTCATTGGTTTTGACAGAGAAGACAAGTTGGAAGATAAACACTAAGGAGAAATGTGATTGTGGGCAGGTTTCTTTACTTCATCTTGTATCCACTCCCTCAGCATTTGGAACTCTGTTATGAAGATAAGCTGCAACTGATTAATGTGAGTGATCAATTATATAAAGAAATATTATGGAGACAGTGCTCTTATTTAAAGATCTTAGAATTTCTGGAAAAGATTGGTTAGTCTCATCCCAAATATTTTTGGTCAGCTGATTCTCTTTTCCTATTCTAATCCCTGCCCACTTTCCTATAAACTTTCATCTTGGTGTTTTCTCTTATTCTAGAAGCTTTCATGTCTTTAATCTCATTTAAACTTCACAACAGCCCAGTTAGAGACGTGGAAAGCTCCGTTTTGCAGATGTATTAAAAACCGGGGCTCTGGGACTGGCCCAAGGTCAGGTAAAACACAGGGATAAGCGGGAACGAAGCCAGTTGGTCTCTGGTTACCGGTGCGGCGACTTCACGCTAGGCCATGGTAACTTTCCCTCCCCCTGGCAGTCCCACCCTGGAAGGGCATTCCCATGAATTTAATCCCAGTCTATCAAAACATGGCCAAAGTCGCTAAATTGTTCCAGTTCGCTGCAGGTCGTGAACAGAATTTCGACTGAACCGATTCTCCTTCCTTATCCCCCGGCTGCTGTGGTCTTTGCGCTCGGGGAGCGGACGCGCGAAGGCGTCCAGACCCCATCACCCTAGGTTTACCGACAGAGAGACGCTGTTCCTGGGCCTAGGGACCCCGTGGTGACCCTTCTTCCCTGCGAAGACACGGCGGCATGTTTCTCTACGGGGAGGAGCGCGCATGGAAAGGTGGAGGCTCGGTTTAGGTAGCAGGAGGGGCAGCCCATCGATAGATACCCTTGCCAACATGTAGGATACACATCTCTCCGCGTCCTCTGTGCCGCGTGAGCGTCCCGGGTATGGGGAGACTTTACCGCGTCCACGAATCCCTCGCACGATGCGCCCGCGTGTCTCCCCTACCGCTCCCAAGCGGGCCGCGCTGTGCCAGGTGTCGGGGTGCGTGTCGGACGCGCGGGCTGACTTTCCAGCGCCGTGAGCACTTGCTCCGCGTGCAGCGGTGAGGCCGCTGCCCCCGGGAGCCACTCGGGCGCCTCCTGTCCCCCGCCGTCCCCGCGTGACCCGCCGCTCCCCGCGCAACAGTTGGCTGGGCGGGCGGTGCGCGCGCTCCCCGGGCCGTGCGCGCGAGGCGCGCCAGGCGGCCGGGCCGCAAGCGCGGGCCGGGGTCGCGGCGCAGAGGCCTGGCGCTCCCCCAGGCGCGGGCCCGGCCCCTCTCCAGATGCTGCCGCGCGCCGGCCGCCCCCCCCGTGCGCCGGTGCCTCCCCGGGCGCCCAGTGCGCAGGCGCCGGCCGTGAGGACCGACCGTGCGCTGGGCTCCAGCGGGTTGGAGCGGCGGCAGTGGAGGGGACGCGCGGGCTGGCGAACTGACGGGCGGACGGGCCATGTCGCCCCGCACCTGCTGAACTGGAGCACCCGAGGATGTCTACGCTGAGGAAGGTGCGAGCCACCGGGACCGGAGCCGCGCGGGGACTGGGCTAGGGGCGCGAGAACCGTCGGGGGTTGCGGGGGAGAAGGCTGCCCGGCGGGACGGACCGCTGGGGCCCCGCGAGGGCGGCTGGGTGAGGGGTGGGGACCCCGGGGCAGCCTGTGTACTGGGTCCCCTCACCCTGAGCTGCAAGGCGCGCGGGAGCGGGCGCAGAGCGGGGCGTCGCGGAGGGGTGACATTCTCCGCTCGGCCCGGCAAGCTGGGGGACCCGCGGAGACCCGGGAGGAAGCGCCGGCCGGCGAGGGGCTGCGCGCCGGGCTCCGGCTGGGCACCGCGAGGGGATGGGGGCGGCAGGCAGCAAACTGCGCCCCCTCCCCCCGCCCGGCGCAGGACGCCGACCGCCTCTGGGAACGCGTGGAAGGCGCCGGGAGCCCGGGCTCCGCGCGGGGGGCGCAGGGGGCGCGCGGCCGGGCGGCGGGAGGGGTCATTGGCGCCGGGGCGCGGCGCCCGGGGGTGGCTGGAGGAGCGCGTCGGGAGGGCGGCCTCCGGCTCTACGAGTGGGAGCGGAGCGCGGGGGCTTTTTCGGGGCGGTTGCTAAGCGAGCCGCTACCCGGCGCAGGATTCTGTAACCAAGCCTCCCCCGGCAGCGGCTGTTGCCGTTCTGGGCTCGCTCGCTAACGGTAGCAGGAGAAATAAGGAGGCTGTCATTATTACAGCCTGGGCGGCGAGGGGCGGGAGCGGCAGGCACGGGGGCCGCCTGGCGGGCCAGCTGGGTGCCCGGCGCCCGGCCCCCGGCTCCCGCGTGCGGCGCCGAGAGACGCGGAGCAGAGTGGACGGGACCCGGCGGGGGCTGGGCGAAGAGTCGGGGGTGGGGTGGAGGCCCGCGGGTTCGCCGGCGGAGAGCGGCGAGAACCAGCTCCGGGGTGCGACCTGCGTCGGAAACTCGGGAGCTGCTTCTCCGGCGTCCGCGCTTCGCCGGAACGTGGTCCGGCCGCCTGGGTGTCGCTTCCCCGGTGAATGGCGACTCGGCCGGGCTCCGGATTCGGAATTCGGGACTTGCCGGCGCGGCTGGCTCGGATCGATCAAAAATAAAGCGATCGGCAGCGAGTCCTTCCTGTGATTAATTCTGCCAGCACGGGCTGTGGGTGGTTTTGGAGCCGGAAATGTAAAGCGCACCTGCTTATTCTGCCATCTGAGGAGGACTTCAGCCTAGGACTTTAACCAGGGGCCTCAGCGCCGGGGGTCTTGGGGCTTTGCTCACGGTAACCAGCTCGTGTGTCCTCTTGGACAGTGTGTCTGATTGGAACTCGCGGGCCCGGTGATCTATGACTTAAGGAAGACTCTAGCTTGCAGAGGAGAATCGATTGTATTAGTTATTAGAAACCCCCCTGGCATCTCAGCATGGCCTGAGAGAGCCCACAGCCTCGTCCAAAAGGACTCTTTCTCTGTTTCAAAGCCGACACCACAGAACCATCTCCCCTCCCCCGACACCTTGGAAGGAACAACATTTGGATTTGAGGTTAATGTACGTTACAACACCATTTTCATTTTACTTCCTTTACACTCTCCGCAAAAGGTAATAGGTAACTAAGGCCAAAAATGGTGAAATTATGAAAAAAATGGTAATTCTTGGCAGGTCAAGCTGTTACTCTGGTGTTTAAAAAAAAATGTCATTAATCAGGATTTTCCAGTAGCCAAATTGTCTTGTGCAGGTGGCTGGGTGACTCACAGATTTAGCTCTGATAGTAATTGTAGAGTGTGTGTACCACTTCCTTTTAGATGGTGTGACTTTCTCATTGCTTGGAAGGGAACAAATTAGAATATTTTATACCCCACATCTGGAAGCAGGACCAGCAGGCTGTGGGGAACACTCTCTGCTCAGGCACATCTGGGCTGGGAGAGGTATGGACCCAGTGAATGAAAACAGTAAAAAGAAATAGTCCTGTCCTGAAGCTCGCAGCCCCTTCCCACCAGCACTCTCGAGTCCCGTCCCAGGTCAGGAGTTCCATCAATGGGGGGGTTTCTCCTCTGTGATCCCCCATCAAGGGAGGCCTGCTTTGTGTCTGTGAGCCCCTCCTGCCCCCTCGTGCCCTCCTGTCCCTAATTTCCTCTGTTCTTGGTTAAGAAATCGATAAGCATTGGATGACTTACCCTAGCGATCTATCATGTCATATCTGCAGATTACATTTTAGGTTAAAGCGCAAAATGAATTCTACATAAATAATCCAAAGTGTTGAAGGAATTTAAGTTTTCTCACCACAAAGATGTTTTCTATATGCATTCTGTCCTATTTGACTTTCCATGTTGGTAATCATTTATTCCCTTTCCTTCCACTTACAGTATAACTATCCAAAGTGGCTGGAGATAGAAGTAAACGTGTACTTGTTCACCAATGTGTTTGTGCCTTAGGTTTCTTGTGTTGTAGGTGAATTAATAACAATATATCTTATTTCTATAGAATTCAGATTGCTTTGCATGATTTCTCCCCAGTGACATAAATATGTCCTCCTATGGCAGTCTATTGCTTCTCCTATTTTTGCCTACTTCATTTTTGAAATTGGTGGAAATTTCACATTAAATACTAAAAGTGAAAAAGCACTTTGCACAATTTAAATCACGTTAGATTTCGGATACCCAGAATCCAACCAATTCTGAAACTAAATTCTAACATTTTAAAGCTTGTTAGAGGATTTGTTATCTGTGTTTTTAGCAGAGTGTCTTCCATCGTGTGCCTACATGATGAAACTGAAGAAATGCTGTAATTCTTTTATATTTGAGGAAAAACTTCATGATTTCTCAGTCACTCAAGGAGTTGAGTAATATACACTTTGATCATAGATTTTAAAGGGAAATTAATTAAATGTATTATTTATTGACCCTTGGAATGGATATGCCATGGTCATTCACTGGATACAATAAAAATAACTATGATTCATCATTTTGGCCAGATGGGAGTCATATTTAAAACATTGGCAGCATGTTGGTTATAAAAGAATTATGGGCCACCCAACAGGAAGTTAGCGGGCAAAGCATTCTCTGCAGTTAAAAATCATTCTGATCAACCACAGCTTTACATACAAGTTGTTTTTATCATGGAACCATATTTCCAGCAGATCGCCAGCTTTTAAAGTAGGTGTCGTTGTCTTCTGGGCATGTGTGTCACAAAGACTGAGCACGGTAGCTTCCAGTTTATTCATGGCAGACACTCTCGTTTACGGGGAGCTAAGCATGTGGGCTTTGGCGTCGACGGGTATGGTTGGGGGGTGCAGATTCCCCCCTAAATCCTGCATCTGCCGTTAGGAGAGCCTTTACCTTTACAGCACCCTTCCTTTCCAGGGCTTAACACCAGTGACAAACAGCGGGTTTGGAGCCGGTGTTAATCTCCTGGGCCAAGGCAGTGGCATCCGCGTGTAAGATCAGTTGTCCCTTTCTCTGCGGGGCCTCTGCCCTGGCCGCACCCGCTGTGAAAAGCCTCGTCAGGCAGCAGCTCCGGGGCCCTCGAGGGCCCTCACCCTCAGTCCGGAAGGGTGCCTCCCATTTCTGGAGGTTCCAGACATTCCCGCAAGGAGCTTCAGTTGCGGCTCGTCTTGAGAGAACGCATCTCCTGGGAAATGTCCCCGGTTAGTTTCTCCTGACCTTTGCTCTTGCACCGTCGTCTTTCTTGGGGGGGTCTCCAAGGAGCTGAAGTTACCAGGCTGACTGCAGACGGCTTCTGTGGTCTACGCTGCCTGGCCCTGCAGGATACCTGCACGCTGTTCTCTTCGGAGAGACTGCCTAGCCCACTTCTAGGGTGTGGCTGTTTGGGGGCGGGCTCCTGGCTGCGTAAGGAGGTCAGGACCCCATCCCCCCTCCGGGAAGAGCACGGCGTTTCCTCTCAGCCGAGAATGGAGAGCTTTAGGAGGTAAATCTAAAAGGATGTAGGTCCCTCACATGCAGCCTGGGGTGGGGTGGCCTGTCCATCCTGGGAAGCCAGTACCCAGGATGGCAGGGCAGGGCCGGGCCACGGGTGGACAGCAGGGCCGTGGACGGCCGCACTTGGTCCTACGATGTCACTGAGGTCCAGCTCAGGTAGGGCTTGAAACTGTCATTACCGTGGGTTTCTGTCCTGACCACCCAACGGGATGTAAAGGTTTTTAGTTTCCCGAAAAATTTCCTCTTTAAAGCTCTCATTGCGGGGTGACATTTATCCATCATCCGGTGACACTTGTCTGGTATGCCTTTTTGTGTGTATCCACAGGGAAAAAAAAAAGTAATTTTTGTTGAAAAGGAATAAGTACTTGAAACCAGCCCTTGCATAAAATTGTAGCAAAATTTGTTAAAAAGTAACTTTGTAAACCTAAGTGGTCATTATCTTTAAAAACATGTGCCGAACTCTGCACAAAAGAAAGAAATATTGAAATGATCTCCTAGCACCCACGGGGTACACATCTTAGGCCAAGCAACGTAAAATCATCCTCCTGTGCCTAATGGAAATGTGTCCTACTAGTGTTGTACGATGCCAGCCAGCAGCTTTTTACACTGGCCACGTAGGTAGTGATTAGGAGTGAGAGTGAGGGTTCTGGAGTCAGATAGCCTGGGGGGCTGCGTGGCACCGGCCGTTTATTTGCCCTCATTATATTTTTGGCCTTCATCGCTAAAGGGACGGATCCAATATTAACATGGTAGGGTTGTCAGGAGGATTAAATGAATTGATGAGAGTAAGGCAGTTAGAACAGCATACGTAGTAAATGCCCAACATGTGTCCACTATGTTGATCATGAAGAAATGAAATTGGGGCCCAGTTTGGGCCATCCTGCATTGGACGTAATGAAGCCACTCTCCAAATCCCCATAACACTTAGGTATTTACTATTTCCAGTCTTCTTTTACTTTCTTTTATATCTGTTTTGCCACCTCTTTCCAAAAAGTTTTTTGACTCACTGACAAAAGGACAAGGTCCAAGAAATGAAATAAAGTAGAAACAGGCAATCAGAGCAAACAAATATGGTAACCACAAGGGTTAGCATAGTCCT